GGCAAGGTGCTCGCAGCCAGAGGGAGGTGCATACTGGATGTGGTGTGCCGAGTGGGGAAACACTTTCTGGGTCGCGATTTAGACATCGTAAGCCTGTTTGTCTGATATAAGTACATATCTTTACCAAGTTTTATGCTGGTCACTAGTGTAACATTCGTGGACATGAACAGAATGCATTTCTCGCTTGTGTACATCATGTGGAGGAGGATGTTACGTATCAAATGCACTGCGTAAATATTTTAATTATGGTAATGTGTGGATTTGAACCGCTTAATGTCCCAACATGTTTTCTTAGTGCTCTGCTAAGTTTGCTGGGAAAACACAAACGGAATAAAGACCCGGAGTGTGCAGGCCGCGGTGATATTTGACTTCCCACCACACGGAAACCAGTGCGGTTGCGGTTTAGGCAGAGGCTCGGGCAAATGGAGCCCTCTGTTCGCGGCGCCCACGTGGGTGTGGTGCAGAGGTCCACGGCTCCGACGCCGCTGGCCGCCCCGGCAAATACGGCGGGTGTATATTAGCCGTAAGATAATGGTCTATACACCGTGGACGTCAGAGTGTGCCACTGCGTGGCCGGCATGGCGCTTCGAATGTGCCCGCTGGCAAACTCCCCGCCGGCAAACGCGGCAGGACCCTGCTGAGGAAGAGCCGCGATACTCAGCGAGGCATCGCGTGCGGGTCCTGGCTTCGAGTCAGTCTCCTGCCCTGCGTGTGCCGCGGACTTCTTTCGCACCGTACGCAGCCGATCGTGCTTATCGGAGGTGTCCGGGGAAGGACAAGAAACTGGGAAGATACGCCTGCCTGGCTGTGTGGGGGGCACGGCTATTCGTTCGGGGGGCATGCACCCCCAATCTCACCCCCCAGAGCACCCCCCCCATCGCCTCTCCAGCATCATCAGCAGCAGCGACAGCCCTGGAGGCAGCCGCAAATGACCGCGGTCTCTTCGCGTCGTGGCGCTGCCTCCGAGTGCCGCGCAGTTGACCGCTGTCCCCGGCGGCGCGCGGAGTCTCCTGGCAGCGTCAGGTGGGGGCGGGCGGCGTCGTCCGCTACCCCCTCACTCACTCACTCTACTCGCTCACTCAGTCTCTCACTCACTCACTCCTCATACACTCACTCACTCTCTACTCTCACTCACTCAGTCTCTACTCTCACTCACTCAGTCTCTCACTCGCTCACTCTACTCACTCACTCAGTCTCTCACTCACTCACTCACTCCTCATACACTCCCTCACTCTCACTACTCACTCACTCAGTCTCTCACTCTGTGTCTCACTACTCACTCAGTCTCTCACTCACTCTCACTCACTCACTCTCTACTCTCACTCATACACTCACTCACTCAGTCTCTCACTCACTCTCTACTCACTCACTCAGTCTCTCACTCACTCCTACTCACTCCTCATACACTCACTCTACTCACTACTGTGTCTCTCACTCTACTCACTCAGTCTCTACTCACTCACTCCTCATACACTCACTCACTCAGTCTCTCACTCACTCTACTCGCTCACTCAGTCTCTCACTCCTCATACACTCACTCACTCACTCTCTACTCTCACTCACTCAGTCTCTACTCTCACTCAGTCACTCAGTCTCTCACTCTACTCACTCACTCTACTCAGTCTCTCACTCACTCACTCAGACACTCACTCACTCAGTCTCTCACTCACTCACTCTCTACTCTCACTCACTCAGTCTCTCTCTCCTCACTCCTCATACACTCACTCTACCCAGTCTCTCACTCACTCACTCGTACTCACTCCTCATACACTCACTCACTCTCTACTCTCACTCAGTCTCTCACTCACTCACTCTCTACTCTCACTCTCTCACTCTCTCCTCACTCCTCATACACTCTACTCACTCAGTCTCTCACACTCTCTCCTCACTCCTCATACACTCACTCTGTGTCTCTCTACTCACTCTCACTACACACTCCTCATACTACTCACTCCTCACACACTCTGTCTCTCACTCACTACTCATACACTCACTCTACTCATACACTCACTCTACTCACTCTCACACTCTACTCACTCTCACACTCTACTCACTCTCACACTCTACTCACTCTCACACTCTACTCACTCTCACACTCTACTCACTCTCACACTCTACTCACTCTCACACTCTACTCACTCTCACACTCTACTCACTCTCACACTCTACTCACTCTCACACTCTACTCACTCTCACACTCTACTCACTCTCACACTCTACTCACTCTCACACTCTACTCACTCTCACACTCTACTCACTCTCACACTCTACTCACTCTCACACTCTACTCACTCTCACACTCTACTCACTCTCACACTCTACTCACTCTCACACTCTACTCACTCTCACACTCTACTCACTCTCACACTCTACTCACTCTCACACTCTACTCACTCTCACACTCTACTCACTCTCACACTCTACTCACTCTCACACTCTACTCACTCTCACACTCTACTCACTCTCACACTCTACTCACTCTCACACTCTACTCACTCTCACACTCTACTCACTCTCACACTCTACTCACTCTCACACTCTACTCACTCTCACACTCTACTCACTCTCACACTCTACTCACTCTCACACTCTACTCACTCTCACACTCTACTCACTCTCACACTCTACTCACTCTCACACTCTACTCACTCTCACACTCTACTCACTCTCACACTCTACTCACTCTCACACTCTACTCACTCTCACACTCTACTCACTCTCACACTCTACTCACTCTCACACTCTACTCACTCTCACACTCTACTCACTCTCACACTCTACTCACTCTCACACTCTACTCACTCTCACACTCTACTCACTCTCACACTCTACTCACTCTCACACTCTACTCACTCTCACACTCTACTCACTCTCACACTCTACTCACTCTCACACTCTACTCACTCTCACACTCTACTCACTCTCACACTCTACTCACTCTCACACTCTACTCACTCTCACACTCTACTCACTCTCACACTCTACTCACTCTCACACTCTACTCACTCTCACACTCTACTCACTCTCACACTCTACTCACTCTCACACTCTACTCACTCTCACACTCTACTCACTCTCACACTCTACTCACTCTCACACTCTACTCACTCTCACACTCTACTCACTCTCACACTCTACTCACTCTCACACTCTACTCACTCTCACACTCTACTCACTCTCACACTCTACTCACTCTCACACTCTACTCACTCTCACACTCTACTCACTCTCACACTCTACTCACTCTCACACTCTACTCACTCTCACACTCTACTCACTCTCACACTCTACTCACTCTCACACTCTACTCACTCTCACACTCTACTCACTCTCACACTCTACTCACTCTCACACTCTACTCACTCTCACACTCTACTCACTCTCACACTCTACTCACTCTCACACTCTACTCACTCTCACACTCACTCTCACACTCTACTCACTCTCACACTCTACTCACTCTCACACTCTACTCACTCTCACACTCTACTCACTCTCACACTCCCTCTCCCCACACATCTCCCCCGCTCTGCCCGCGGGCCCCGCGCCGTTGCCGCCTGGCCATGTCGTGCTGCGCGCGGGGCGCTCCCCACGGCGCCGTGGAGGTGAGGAGACTCACACCCGGGCCGGCACCGGGCCGGCCTGGCACGGGGCTGGCACGGGGCTGGCACGGGGCTGGCACGGGGCTGGCACGGGACTGACTGACACCCGGGCTGGCACGGGGCTGGCACGGGGCTGGCACGGGACTGACTGACACCCGGGCTGGCACGGGGCTGGCACCGGGCTGGCCCCGGGCTGGCCCCGGGCTGGCCCCTGGCTGGCCCCGGGCTGGCACGGGGCTGGCACGGGGCTGGCACGGGACTGACTGACACCCGGGCTGGCACGGGGCTGGCACCGGGCTGGCACGGGACTGACTGACACCCGGGTTGGCACCGGGCTGGCCCCGGGCTGGCACGGGACTGACTGACACCCGGGCTGGCACGGGGCTGGCACGGGGCTGGCACGGGACTGACTGACACCCGGGCTGCCACGGGGCTGGCCCCGGGCTGGCACGGGACTGACTGACACCCGGGCTGGCACGGGGCTGGCACGGGACTGACTGACACCCGGGCTGGCACGGGGCTGGCACCGGGCTGGCACCGGGCTGGCACGGGACTGACTGACACCCGGGCTGGCACCGGGCTGGCCCCGGGCTGGCCCCGGGGCTGGGCTGGCCCCCTGCTGCCGGTGCTGCTGCTGCTGCCAGCGCCTCTCATCCACGCACGCCTCGCTCCTCTCTCTCCCTTCTCCACGTCTCGTGGCGACTTGTTGACTTGTTGTTGTATAAGTTCACGTCACCTTGCAACGACTCCACATCCTCTCGCCTTACTCTCAACCTGTCTCATCTGACAGCTGATGCCAGTCAACACGCAACGTTCCTCGTTTACCGGGATCCGACCTTGCTAGTTGATGCGGGCATGCGACTGGGAGCCAGTGACAATGTAGCGCCATGCCCTTGTTGTTGTTGTTATTGTTGAATATTTGAATCGACCTGTTTACATCCTAAAAACCTGGTGCTGTATCTCTAAATTGCGTATGTTCTACCAATCGAAGAGTTTGATTCGTATATGTTCTAAGTAATGGGTTCACGTGATGCCTTGCAGCCTTGAGTGACCGCTACATTGACCAACAAATCAGTGACAGGTGGCAAGGGCTTGGGGAGGCCTTCATCCAGCAGTGGATTGATGATGGCCGGTGATGACGAGTCGCCAAGCTCGGCATTGGCTACTGCAGGAGAATGGCTTGGAGATCTGGGACGTTCACTAATGCCATCAAGTGACTGAAAGTTGTCTAATTGCCTCCTTGAGTCGCTAATCAATTCAAGTAATTGTGTTTAATTGGGTTCATTGCTCAAACCCACGTCACTTGACCTCGTCTCCTTGCTTACGGCAGCGTCGATGCGCCACGGTTGGTGATGATGGTGCTGAGGTGATGATGGTGCTGAGGTGATGATGGTGCTGAGGTGATGATGGTGCTGAGGTGATGATGGTGCTGAGGTGATGATGGTGCTGAGGTTATGTAACTCTGGGTTCAAGCGAATACCGGCTGTGCAGCACGTGTTCATCATTACGGTTTGGATTTGATTCGCCGCATGCAGCAACCGCATACCACAAACACATGAGACATTTTCAGCATCGGTTGCTTCAAATCAGACTGTGGCATAACAAGCTCAAACCACAAGGCGCGAACCGCTCGTAGATATTGGCCAATATCATCATCAGGAGCCACGACCACTCCACTGCTGGATGAAGGCCTCCCCTAAGCTGTCGCCACCTGTCACGGCTCAGTGATGTTGAGAATCCGCTCAGCACCTGCACGCCAGCAGATGTATTGATGAATGTAGAGGTCATTGATGGTGAATGTAGCGGTCATTGATGGTGAATGTCACTGGTGGTGAATGTATAGGTCACTGATGGTGAATGTAGCGGTCATTGATGGTGAATGTAGCGGTCATTGATGGTGAATGTCACTGATAGTGAATGTAGAGGTCACTGGTGGTGAATGTAGAGGTCACTGGTGGTGAATGTAGCGGTCATTGATGGTGAATGGAGCGGTCATTTATGGTGAATGTCACTGGTGGTGAATGTAGCGGTCATTGATGGTGAATGTCACTGATGGTGAATGTAGCGGTCATTGATGGTGAATGTCACTGATGGTGAATGTAGCGGTCATTGATGGTGAATGTCACTGATGGTGAATGTAGCGCTCATTGATGGTGAATGTCACTGATGGTGAATGTAGCGGTCATTGATGGTGAATGTAGCGGTCATTGATGGTGAATGTCACTGATGGTGAATGTAGCGGTCATTGATGGTGAATGTAGCGGTCATTGATGGTGAATGTCACTGATGGTGAATGTAGCGGTCATTGATGGTGAATGTCACTGATGGTGAATGTAGAGGTCACTGGTGGTGAATGTGGAGGTCACGTGGTGAATGTGGAGGTCACTGGTGGTGAATGTGGAGGTCACTGGTGGTGAATGTGGAGGTCACTGGTGGTGAATGTCATTGATGGTGAATGTAGCGGTCATTGATGGTGAATGTCACTGGTGGTGAATGTGGAGGTCACTGGTGGTGAATGTGGAGGTCACGTGGTGAATGTGGAGGTCACTGGTGGTGAATGTGGAGGTCACTGATGGCCACAAGGCATCACGTGAACCAATTACTTACAACATATACGAATCAAACTATTAGGATTGCATGGCTAACGCAGGTTATATGGCTTCACACAGGTTATATAGCTATCATACTAATATTTGCGTAACTCGATGCAAGTTATAGAGATGTCACGACACGAGTGGCAACCAGAGGTTGGGGATCACGTCCGAGAGGGCGTCATTCACCGTGGAGATGGAGTGGTGAAAGCGGATCGTATGCAGCAGCTGGATGGATTTTTGCACCGCAGAATTGAGATCGATGCCGGCAGCTGTGGGAGACCTTGATCCAGCGGTGGATCGATCACGGCCAATCATGATTTCAAATCGAAAAATATTCTGACACGTGTTGTGTGATGCACGCATCATGAGCTTAGGAACCGACATTAACCGGTGAATCGATGCATCGTTACATCTCAAGTGTATCGGCCGCACCAAGGAGAACTGAACAGTTCAGGCCATACCCCGACTGTGGTTCTGTGCCACTGCTGATAAGCTGAAGGATGTGACATGCATTCAGTTGTGAAGCTGTGTTTATTCTGCTCAGCTTGAGTTGAACCACTCCTGCTGAAGTTATGCACTGCCAGAAGGCTGTGCAGCTGATGGGATGTGTAAAACATTATTATATTTTCACGTCGAGGGACAGTTATGCGAAGGTGGCATGCGAATGCATTTTGTTATTTCTGCCCTCCACAAGGACGCTAATGGTTATTTTGTCTTACGCCGTCTCTGCCGCTCAACAGGTTAGAGCCCTCATCACCCATTGGTCGGTTCCCTTATCCGTCTCGTCAACACGCTGACTCCCACCATGGCCGAGCTTCCTCTGCTTTCCATTCTGGCATCTGGCATCACGCGTTTATGTTGTTTTTTGTCACAACTTGTTCCATACCCCTTTTAAGTGACGATAATGCGCCGCAAATTTGCGTAATTGACATTGTGTTTGGCTCTCTGGCCTTGGTCAATCCGCTGCCGGTGGAAGGAGGCCCTCCCGCACGGCGGGTTTGGTGAAGGAGGGCAGTCAGACACCACGGGTCTCCCTCGCCACACGTGCGGGCGGTGCGCGAGTCGCTGTCCCTCCACTTCGGTCAGATGATCAAAGCTCGTCTTGCCAAGCAGAGACCTCGGCAACCTTTTTTTGGAGTCGCAACGGTGTATTTATGTTTGTGTTGGAATGCGTGGCTACGTCGTGTTTGGGATTTGGGCTGTGTCGGCCGCTCACGATGCACCGCCGCTCGTGTGAGCTAGAAGTGTTCACGACTCCTCGGGCACGGCACACTTGGCTCACGCCTGGCAAGGCCCGCAGCCCTGCAACATCTCGCGCGCGTCACCGCTGGCGGAAGGGCCTCTCCTAGAGGGAGCTCTGCAGAGTCCGTCGAGAGAGTATTTGGCCTCTCCTTCCACGCTGGCCACACACCTTGTTTGTACTAATGTTCAATTCGACATCTGTGAAAAGAGCTTTATTGCTAATCGGATTGCTTCAGTAGTCAACCGCGCTAATTGGAGGTAATCCTGGAAGTGACGGCAGTACCCACACTTTGCCCCACCACACGTCACTTGCCGATCGACTCGTAAATCAATGGAACATTTAAATGTGAAGAAGCGGCTGTGTGTTGCTGTTGTTGTTTAGTAAAGACACACACAGCTGAGCTGTGTAACCCAGCACAGAGCAGAGCTCCCCGGCTCCACCGGACCGTACGATGCGCGGTTGGTCCTGGTTCATCTTCATTCGTGCCACGGCAGCACACTTCATTCTAGCCTCAAGCTCTGTGCTTAAACTTGAATTTACTGGAATTGACTTCATCCAATTTAAACACCACCATGTATTTGGCCATGTCTTCCTTTGACGTGAGTACACAATTAGATACAATAACGTCTGGATGTCAAGAGACTGATAGAGAGAATCCCACAATGCACCATGTGACCTTTGCCCTTAAAATTCAGCCTCCCCATGCCATTCCGGTCATGGGGTTGTGTGACCATACTTCACTATTCTGGTCAGTGTGGCTTGGTGAAGGGGGAATGAAAAGCAGTATGGGTGGTGCAGATATCACTCACCACTGATGTAGTAAGCCAGAGCCAGGAATCCAACTCGGGTCGCCGGGTCCATCTAGTGAAGCGTGTTGCCCACTGAGCAGGCATATGAGGATTCACTCTCTTGTCTCGGCTTGCAAGGAATGTAACACTTAATGGGCCTTTCCCATCGACTGGAGAGACAGATCTTGAATAGTTTGTTGGCTGTGGGGTCGAATCGCCGGTGAATAAGCGCAGACTTCAAACCCGCCCACCCGCCTATTATTCAGCGCCACAGTGAAATATTGCAGCAGAACAAAGCGTGCGGTCTCATGTGTACTTGACGAATTGCAATTGCTTAATTTAGATGGCATTTAAATACGATTATGACTCTCCTGGCAGGAAACGTTTATATTGGAAAGAAAGGTTCTGCCAGGAATCCTGGCCAGGGGAAAAACATTGCGCCAATTTAAAAATCTAGAGCTTTCTATATACATGTACATATCTGCATCACACACACACACGCGCAATGTACACACGAGCGTGAGCGGTGCCTGCGAATGGCTCGTGCCTGTTCAGGGCGTACCCTCCGGCAAGCGCCCGTGCGTGCGTAATCCTTCGCGTCGTGCCATCTGTAAAACTTTCCGTTGGTGGAAACTTCCGCGCTGTGGAAGTTCTGCGAGTGGCCACTGTCTAGTGTAGGTGGCGGTGGGCTTGGGAACAGGGGATGGCTTCAGGTGCCTTTTAACAGCGCGTTCCGTTGTACAGTGCGGTCCACCGCACCCGGACTGACGGAGCAACAAGCGCATTCACAGTCAGACGCGCGCTGAACAAAGACACATCCAGCGGCTCTAAGGGGTGAAAACATCGACCTCACGGTGTACGTACTCGTCCAGCGCTTTGGTCAATCCACTGCTGGATGAGGGCCTCCCCCACAGCCCCCCGCTCGTGTTGGGGGTTATCGGGACGTACTTCAATCTTGATTTGAAGCTTTCGTGACTGCACGACGTTTCGGGCACAACACAAGCATCCGTCATCAGGTGGGAAATCACCTGATGAAGGATGCTTGTGTTGCGCCCGAAACGTCGTGATTTATTTTATCTTATACCTACGTGACTTTACCGAAAGAACCATTAGTAGGGACGTACTTCGTTACGCCGGTCAGTGCGGGGTGGTTGGTGAATTGTTGAGGGCCGGAACCGGCTCAGGTTTCACTTCGCCACCGATGTGAGCCGTGGCCAGAAATGGAACTGAGAACACGGTGACCAGCACCGTGTTCTTCCACTCGAGACACCCCACGAACCCCGTTGAGAAAGTTCCACGGAGGGTCTTTCACTGAAATGCCGCCAATTGTTAAACCGGTGGGTAACAAAACAAACCTGAGAAGATCTCAAGTAGGGAGGCAACTCGGCGACGCACAGCCCCGAGCGACACGCCGTGGGGCGCGCCGTGCGTGGCATGTCGCGTGTGCCCGCTGTGTGCACACGTTCACAAGCTGTCCGGCTAAAGTTATTTTTGGTAGAAACGCTGAATCATCATCACCACTGTTAAGTTGCATCTTCCTTTGCTTCTGGTGTCAGGGTTTATTCTAAAGCAGTTCACATTTAACAGCAGAATGCACTGCTGTTGTAACCCGAATACGCATCTTTAAATGTCTACTTATTCTGGTTCTGCGATCACCTCTCTTGCGGAATGACCTGGTTTCCGTGGAGGCGGGTAACCTTGCTGGTCGTCGTGATGTGGTCACTGCGAGAACAGAGTGTCCACAAGTTGCGGTGAGACCTCGGTTAGTTGTACGGAAATATACAACTTCCTATCGGCGCGGACGATCACAAAAGGCCATTACCTGAATTTGCTGCAGTTATGTCCGTCTTGGTTAAACGGCTATGATGGAAATTATCATAATGC